GAGAACAGACTAATACAAGAATCTTCCATGTCCGTGCACTTAGATTTCATGTAGATTACTTCCTAATTCTTTGGATGTTTGTCCCCTTGCAAGGGTGAATGCAGCCTCCCCTGTCACTCTGTATTCTTGTTGAGTGGAGCCTGTGTTTTTATATTATGTTTGGTCTCTTCAGAGTGTCCAGGTAGCCAGACTCTGCCTTGCCTACAGCACCCCTGAGGCACCCTCCTCCAACTTCTGATTGTGTTGTACGTCACGTTCATGGTCTTTGCTTTTGTAAAAGAACACCTTTGGACTGGACTGCTCAGCATCTATGTGGTAAGCCTGGAAAGGCCTCCCCTGAGCCTGAGGACGCGTGACAAGGAGGCAGTGATGCCTGTCAGTCGAGGAAACACAGCCCTCCTGTTTTGTTTTACTGTAACTTTTATTTGCCCACAGCCTGCCAACAAGGTCAGCTCCAGAAACACAGCATGCCATTCTTTTTCACATGAAGCCTGCACTAATAGAGGTGGTGGTTAAGAGGTTGGAAATTCCAGCAAGGGTTTTGCCAGTGGTCAACTTTGTTTACAAGCCTGGAGGTTTCTGTTTTATGAGATTTTTATTAGTGGACTCTGGACTGACTGTTAGGAAGGACTAAAACCATGAGGGAAACTCTTACTTTGCTGGCGAGTTTCTCTAGATAATGTATAGTGTGTATATTCAGACTTACGTATTTCCTGACAGTGAAACTAATTAGATCCTGGAATAGGTCCCTAAGGAAATAAATGCACAAACTAGGCAGTTTTACTCTAGTTAGAACTTGGTATAAAAGATATTTAGATATTTCATTTTCTTGCAACTTTAGAAAAAATTTTGTTCTTAATCTCTATTGATTTTGTTCCTCTCTTTTCAACATATTCTAAATATAATTACTATAATTAATAGTATATTTATAAACATAGATATTGAATGTAAGCTTTAATAGACTCTACACTAGGTATGTTAAAACATAACGTAAGTGAAATAGTAGAAAATACTTAAAGTGTATTCAGTATTAATGAAGATGAACTATGGCATGTGTTTGGAAAACTATTTGAAAACTTTGTCTAAGACGTTTCTATCAAGACTTAAGTAGCTTCATCCTCCTTCACGTCCTCTTTTTGTGGTGGAAAATTAGAAAACGTGCTCTTCAACGTTTTTCCTGGTTCTTTTTTCCTTCTAGGGATAGAAAATACAAACCTCAGAATTGGCTGCTAAATTTACTCACCTTAGCAATGATTTTCCATCTGTTTTTATTTCTAATTAGTATTGACTGTCACAAGTCTTTTCTTCTTTTCATTTCATTGTATTTCTTTCCATACTGCATCTTTTGGCTCCCATACTGCAGTAATATTCATAATGAACTTTATTATGCTGCTCTCCACTACTGCCTGGCTCTGGATCCCAATGCCTTTGATCATTTTGGATGAACCTTTTAATTTTTTCTTGCTGTCTTCGTGGACACATTGTCACTGTGAGTTAATGAAAGTTTTGATTCTTCTGCACATGACAGATCACAGGGGCCACGGTTAAAGCTTGGAATTTAAGTCTCTGACTTGTGCAGTGGGCAGTGAGGTATTAAATATCATGCTTTCCATGCACAAAAGCAACTGCAGGACTTCTTGTGGTTATTACAAATTGCATTTTTCATTTTCTGAGAGTAATAATGCCTGCTTAGCAAGGTTAAAACTTTCCAGCAGTAGGAACTGGAAACACCCACCAGTGGTACGTTTCTGAGAAGATGAAGAGAGTAAGAAAGCACTAAACCTGTGGTTTTGATAATGGCTGGCAATTATGATGTTTTTAGTCTAGTTTGATCAAGAAAGTGTAGGGAAGATTTATTCCAAACCATGAACAGCATAGCAGTGGTGGATCCCAATGACTGTTCTGGGTCTTTTTGAAAAAAGGCATTCCATAAAATTGTGTTGAAGGTTTGTAGCAGACTTTCAAAGTGAGGGTTTCTAGCAGACTTTGCTGCGGTTGGTTTTAGCTGCACGGTGCTCATGCCAATTTTGTTATTGTAAATATAAATACATTATGTAATTTAAGTCATCTTTCTTGGTTGAAAAATGCTATGTAATTCTTATAAAAATTAATGTCACCTTTTCTGAGACAGCAGGATTTTTTTTTTTTTTTTTTTTTGCATTAAAGACTCTGGTCCCATGAAAAACTGTTTTTAAAAATTAAATAAAGCTTTTGAATTTTGCTATTAAATACTTTTAAAATTCAAGTTTACTTGTTGCAAATATTATGCCCAGCGTGGCTGATAAATCATTTGAATGTAGGTATAGATGCACATTTAAAAAACCCTAATCACTAACAAATCCAACCCAGCAGTATTAAATGATACATCATGATCAAGTAGGATTATTCAAGAAATTAAAGGATGGCATTATATTAGGAAATAAATTTATTTAACAAATCACATTAGTAGATTAAAACGCTGGCCAACGGCTCAGTAAATGTTTTTCCTCCATCAGAAAGACATCTAGATTTGTGCCTGAGTTCTGCTAAATGAAATGCAGCTAGAAATGTTGCACGCCACTTTCAACTCTAGCCCATGAAACATTTTTCTGTGCAATCATTTACTCTCTCTTTTTCTTACTCAGTGAGAGAGATGGCAGAGCCACAAGATGGAAGTGGTAGTTGCTTGAATTTGAAAGGCTACCTCAAGAACGTTCACATGTGTAAGTTTCTAAAGCTACTACGTGTAAGTTTCTAAAGCTACTACAATTTTGAGGATTGTTACATAAGTTAGCCTCATACTGACTAATCCTGGTAGCAAAATGGCATTTAATAAAATTTGGTACATATTGATCATTTTTTAAAAAAATTCTAAGATGGAATAGGATTATTTTAACTTGTTAAGAAATACCTATCTTATGTCAAATGCCAACATTGTTCTTCATGATGAAGTGCTATAGGCATTTTCTTTGAAATAAAGAAACAAGACAAGGATGCTAACTGCCTCTGCTGTTAATGATAGCTGGCTAGAAGTTCTAACTAATAATTGAGGCATAAAATTACCATTATTTGAGATGAAAATATCATCCACCTAGGAAATCCAGGAAAAATCAACCACAAAATTATTAGAGGGACTGAGGGACTTTAATAAAGTCACCTGGTACAAAATAAATCATACAAATTAATGTTTCCTATATGACCTTTAAAAAGTAAATTGTGTATCTTGAAATATGGTATAAAAATCACAAAACAGAAAGGTACTATGAAAAAAGAACAAAGCTTTTTTAAATGCTGTGAAATTAAAAAATAATAGTCAAAAAAACTTCAATCAAAAATTTAAAAATAAGTTTGATAAAGTTTAAAAGAAAAAAATTCAAAGAGATGGGCAAAAGGAAAGATGATAAAATTAAAGGATCCATCCAAAGTCCAGTATCTGACTAAAAGGTGAGAAAAAGTAAGCAGAAGGAAGAATATTATCACACACAATTAAAGAACATTTAGCTGACTTGAATGACTAAGCTAAAGGACTAAAGCTCAAGCTTTATTCAGATTTCCCTGGTTTTTATCTAATGTACTTTTTCTTTTTCACGATACCACATTACATTTAGTTGTCATGTCTCCTTCAGCTTCACATGACTGTGACAGTTTCTTAAACTTTCCTTGCTTTTGAGGATTTTGACTCCTTTTGAGGAGGACTGGTCAGGTGTCTTGTAAAATGTCCATCTGCTGAGATTCATCTGTTATTTCATTAACTAGAGCGAGGTTATGGGTTTTAGGAAGATCACAGAGGTAAGCTGCAATTTTTATCACATCATATGAAAGGTAATACTCTCAATATGACTTACCACTCTTGATATTGACTTTGATCACCTTCTGAGTAGTGAGGTACCTCTGGCTGAGAGTTTATCACGTTTCTCCACTGTAAATGGTACTCTTCCTCTACCACCTGTACTTGGATTCTTGGGAAGGAAGTCCCTATGTGCTACCCAGTCTTAGAGGTGTGTAGTATTTCACTGTTTTTCTTGCTTGCACTCTTAAGCTACATGATGTATATCTAGTAATACATCGGCAGTACCTGGGAATTCTTTTCTCCTGCTTGTGCCAATTCTCATTCATGTTTTGATGAACAAAAAAATTGTCTTTTTTGCATACCTGGTTGTTTGATTGTCTGATGAACACTGTGGTACTTTTTATAAAATAACATTTTCTTCCTCTAGAGATTTTCATTTACTTCTTCCTGGTGCTTGAGGGTATTACTAATCCAGAGCTACCTTAATCTAATTTCAGGGTTTGAACTTTTTCTATCTACCCAGACAACTTGAAGCAGGGCTGCTTTATGTACAACTCACATGTACTTTTAGGATCCAGCCCTTTGAGATCACAATTCTAAGTGTAGGGTGATTGCAGACCCCTTGTCTTCCAGCCCTTTCAGGCTGTTAATAGTGCTGCTCCATTTCTCAGCTATCTTTTCCAAGTCATCAAATGCTCCCTGGGCAAAAACAGTTACTAATGTTGGGCTTGGCAGTGGGAATTTCTCTCTTCTCCCAGATCTTAACCTGGCAATTCCTCACTATGTTATTAGTTTTTAGTTTGGAGGATAATATTTCATTTTTTTTCTCCTATGATAGAGATCTGCCTATTGTTTTATTTCATCCATATATTTTAGCTTTCTTTTTTGGAAAGTTTGTCTGAATCACCTAATCCACTGTTAGGAGTGAAAACAGAGTCCTTGGATCCTTTTGCTTTAACTCCCCCCAACCCTGGGTCTTTCCAATTGACTTTAAAAAGTTATTGTAAATATAGTTGTATAATTTACATTTTTGGAAAGAAATAATGACAAAAAACAAGAGTCTTGACTGTCTTCTCTTTCAAGGTTAAAAAGAAACTTGTGACTTACCAGCCATGGAGTCACTAATCTAAAAAATTACACTACTTCCTTGGTCAGAATACCTAACCACAGAATACTCAATAATTCTTATACAAAGATAATTTTATTCATGAAAAGATCACACAAAGCAAAGTTTTTGTATACAAAGTTATGTTTAAAAATGTGGAAAAGGTAATATTTACAACATTTTCCATACAGTACATAGGTTTTTATGCCTTAACAGAATGCTAAATAGAGAAAAAAACTAAAAGCAAATGCTAAATTGAGAGAAAACCAAAAGCAGCAGAAGACTTTATTCAAAGAATAATACTTAATAGGAAATAAAATTAAGAAAATTCCTTAATATTTTAAAGTATGTTGTATAAAAACATTGTGTCTTGTTTATTGGGACTGCTTTTTTTCCATTTGATTGGCATTAATCTTGCTATCACATTTTTTAATGTTCAGCAAAATAATAAGGGAGCTACTCAAATTCTACAAAATGTCTGAGAAAATACTGTATAATACAAAATGTAACATTCTAAATGTTAAAAACAAAAGTTAAAACAAAGAAAAAGTATAAGCAACTGTGAGTGGTTATAATGCAATCATTGGGTAGTCATGAAACATTAAAAAAAGGAAATCAATTGCACTTAGCCTAATATATAAAAGGCTAACATTTTATCTACTAACCCTTTAGGACATTTTATTTTAAAAATGCAGAAGGATCAGTGAGCAGCATAATGCAATCAATAGTGGACACTCTTTCAGAAAGCACCTTATTTCAGCTACATAATTTACATTTGTGAAATTCCTAAAACAACGAGACTATAAAATTCACACATTTTAGATGGTAAAATGGCAATAAGTGGGTTTTTAAAGTTAAATTCCTACTATAAGACTTTTTGGTATGTCAATTTTTTTATGGTAAAAATATTATTTTACATTTTCTTAGAAATTCAGTGTAAAAGCTACCAAAGTGCTAAAATATCACAATAATATGATAAAAATATTTGAATAGGATTTCAAAAAAGTTCAAATACATATAAGCTTATTTTCAAATATATATAAAAAGATACAAGGATAAGTTTTAAATACTTCAGCAAAGAAATATCTTGATTTTTTTTATCAAAAAGGTAAAACATCATAGTACACCCCAAAATACTCTTAACAAGAGTAGAATCTTCATAAATAGAAAAGGAAGATTCCTCTCTGTCCCACACAATTAAAAAAATATTATTAACCTGCACATTTCTGTTTTCAGGTATATTGTTGTCATTAACCTTTGTGTGAAATGAGTCATATTATTCTTGAACTCAATTTTTTCCAGTACAACAGTAGGCAATGCAGCTTTAAGTGCAAAAGAAGAATGTAACAGTGATTCTTACAAAACAGCGTGTAGGTCACTTCCAGTGTAACACGCATTTGCTTCTGAGTAACAAGAGAAAATGTTCTTCAAGTATCTGAATGACAACCACCTCCCTGCTCTCTTCTCACTCCTGAAACTGGGTGAACAAGCAGAGATCTGGAACCTTTGAGGCTGCTTGGTTCTGAAGAACTAGGGACCTGCAAATTGTTGCTCTGTGCCCGGTCAGTGTCAGTAATATCACTCTTTGGACTAATCCTAGATAAAAGAAAAAAAGTTGACACATGCACATTCATGAGCACAAATATGATGCCATTTTTCATGAGTTTTACCCCAATCAGTGTCCACCTTTATCAGAGAATAAGTAGCTACATCTTTAGCTGTACTTTAACACTTCAAAATACAAATAATTTTTTAAAATATAATTTTCACTGACTTCAGAAACTTATCAAGTACTACCCACCCATATATGGGCTGAACATGGAGTCTTGTGGGGAATAAAATTAATAGGGCAGGATTCCTGCCCTCAGTTTAACTAATGTTTTATTGATTTCTCACCATGGATCAGATACTGCATAAGAAACTGGGAACATATAGATGAGTAAGACTTCAGCTCTCCCCATCTGAGGAGATTCAAATCTACAGAGGATAAAAGCATATAGCTAATTCCAATCCAAACATATGAAAGCTGCCACAGGAACACAGAGAAAGTGCATTTAGCCTAGTCTGAGAGGCCTAGGTAAGATAATCTTGAGATCTGAATGTAATTAGCTGTCTGCATTCTGGTTTACCTGTGCTATGGTCACTATGGCCATTTGAGAAAATTCATTAAAGACAATGTCAATATCCTTTTATGTTCAGAAAATAATTTTTGATAAAATGACACCTTATAATTTTGTATAGGGTTACACCTTTTATACGGCATCATAATGTAGTATTAATTAAAACTTAACCTGTATTTCAGGTAAATCGCATTTTCCTAAATGTGTAAGTTACTCTTAACAATTACAACAGAAACGAACATTCCTACTTGAATAACACATATTAAAGCTGTTTTCAAAGCTAAGAATTAAACTACTAATCAGCATGTTTATAGGCTGAACTCAAACTTCCTTGGGGTAAGAGTACAGACATATCACAAAATGCTTTCCAGATGTGTTACGCTTTAATTAAAAAAATGTGTAATGCAGTATTTAAAATAGTGATGATTTTAGATAAAATCAAATCTCACCTTCCTTCACTCCGTGCACCTTCAGATACACTGCCTGCCTGGCCCTTCCGTTCGACCTGTTCCCCAGAGAGTCTGGAGCTGGATGCTGCTGGGGAGGCAGGTTCACCACAGTCCTGTTCTCTTAACCTGGGGGTGCCTGCTCCATCTGCTCTCATCTCTCTCACTGACGTTTCTGGTGAGGTTTGGATTTCTGTCAAAGTTTCTTGTCCTAGGTAATCATGGCTAGTAATTGCTACTGCAGAAGTGCCATGATTTGCTGTAGCTCCCGTGCTGGTTCCCATGGATTTGGAAATGACCTTCAGCTTGTGTGAACTTGGTTTATAGTGCTTCTTTTTGTGTTTAACTTTAGAATTGTGCTTTATGAAAAACTCACATGACTCCTGTAGTACCCTTCGACTTTCACTGATTGGACTGTAAGAAAATCAAAGGAGAAAATTTACTCAAATTACAAGTGTTACATTAGAGGCTATAAAGGATATCATTTATCTTTTGCCAAAAATCCTAGTCACTAAGGTTGAAAATTCTATAGTTTATATTATTATAAAATATTGAATTATAAATACTAGGACATAAATTGACTTTATAAAATCTTTTGTTTATACACTCTTAGTTGCTTTTGTCAGCATAAATAGTAAACTGGCAGGCAATTTACAAAGCAAGAATCAAAGGATGAGGGCAAGGAGACTCAAAGCAGCATAAACATACTATACATGACATTATATTTGTATCATATATAAATATGTAATATAAAAGTAAACCAGAAGGATATAAAATATAATTAATGGTCTTTGTTTAAATATAACTCTTTTCTTTCTAACATTAAAAATTAGGAAGTTAGTGAGTATATAAATATGAGATATATAATAACAGTGCAAAAAAATTAAATCCAGTTAAATATGATTCTTCAGACTTCAAAAACTTATTTGTGAAATGGTCTACAGTTCTGAAATGAGTTAAACCAATGGGGAACAATTTTTTAAAAGCTATAGTACATTGTATACGTAACTCTGTGTGTGTGTGTGTGTGTGTGTGTGTGTGTGTGTGTACACAATGAAAATAAATTATTTACTTTTAAATATAAACCAATATTGTTATAGACTATTCCATAAGTTTGAATTTTTGGTATCAAGACACATAAGTGAAATTTTGGGTCACAGCTGGTGTAATAAGATTTAAAGTTAGTAAATATGACCATATCACATCACTTACATTTGAATCATACTTTATAGTTTTCCTTACATATACTTAGTCCCATTTAATCTTTTATTATTGATAAAAATTTATTTAAAATGCTGTACCCAAAATAATGAATATGACAGCAGTAATAATACTGGATATACTATAAATCATGAAAAGAAAATATTGCCTTTTATAAATCTTTCATTCATATTTCAAATAGAACAGTATATGTCAAAGACTATTGTAACAAAATGCAAAAATAAAGTATGTCTCTTCCATGAAAAAAGTTTCCTAACTTCAGTTGGCTAATTAAATTGAAATAATAGTTGATATAATGACACTCTAGTACATTGATTTGAATAGTTGCATGGTATTTTGATCTATTTATTTAAAAATTATGTCAGACAATTCAATAGTTTCTTACTCTCTCTTGCGATTTCGTTTAAAAAACCCAGCCCATTCTGTGCATGTCTTTTTGCTTCCAACCCAGAAGACAGCAGAGATGCCAACAATTAATGTCATCAGGTATTTTATCATAAATAAAGCCAATTCTGGTCGAGCTTTTGCTTTTGCCTACAAAAAACAGTGAACAATAACATTTTCAGTGATGCATTAAAAGTGGAAAGAAGTCTATCTTGTCAATATAAAATGAACAAAAATTAGAAATCTTCAACTGTTTTACTAAAAAGGTTTGAAATAATACAATGAAGAGTACTCTAAGTGTAATCCATGTTTTATCTAAATGGTGAACAAAGAACCTTTATGTACCAAATCTCCAGAAAGGGGAAAATACTGAAATATATTTAAGAATCATCTCCTAAATCTTGGCATGATTTCCTTGCATTTTCTTCTGTATAGATACAGTAGCCTCTTACAATTGCCAGAATATTTGCCTCTAAATATTTATCTATTTTCCCTCACTATAATCTACCACAAAAATACATTTAAACTCATCATAACAACAAATACTTTACAGCTTTTATACATTATTATATTTGTATTATAAAAATTTGGTTAAAGTAAATTAAATATCAGTAAAATGTGAAAATATCCTAGGAAGTGAAAATATCCTAAGAATTTCTTTTAAGCATAAACTTTGAAATTCTAACCTTAAACACTGCACAAGGATCAAGATACTACATATTCTGCATTTCTTGCCTTTTTCACTTACTTTCTTGGAGACCATTCTGTATCAATACAAATAGAGCTCTTTATTATTATTATTATTATTTTTGAGACGAAGTCTCACTGTTGCCCAGTCTGAAATGCAGTGGTGCTATCTTGTCTCATTATAACCTCTGCCTCCAAGCAATTCTCCTACCTCAGCCTTCCAAGTAGCTGGGAGTAAAGGCACATGCCGCCACACCCAGCTAATATTTTGTATTTTTTCATTTTTATATTCTGTGAACCTTTTTCCTAACTTTTTCTCATTTTTTTAATATCAGATGTTTTTTTTTTTTCTTATTGATTTGTAGCAACTCTTTATAAATTAGAGAGATTAGCCCTTCAACTATGATGTCATATGCAAATAAACTTTCCAAGTTGCTCTTTTGACACTGATTGTGGATTGGGTTTTTTTTTTTTTCCGTCATGCAGAATCTTTAAAAATTTTTTTTTTACTTAGTCAAATTTAGCAATCTTTTATAGTTTCTATAACTACAGGAATGTTATATACTTCTCCACTTGAAGATTATAATTTTCTAATTCTATCCTATTACATTTTATAGTTTCTTACATAAAACATAAGAACCACAGATCTTAAACTTGAAAACCATAGCTCTTAAACTTTTTAGCAGTATGTAACAGTTTCCCTTCCCCGATCTTGCTGGACTGAGGAATCTAGGAAACAGTACTAACACAGCAGGATCACTTTAAGACATACCTCTCTTATTAAGTATACAGTAAAAACAGACTACAGATAATAGATTATAGACAAAGCATAAGGCAAGTAAAACTATTATCCCCAATACCAACTTTAAAAAATAGATTCCAAAATGTTATAAAGCAGTAACTTTCTGAAATATAAGCTACTATATAAAATAGTTCAATTTTTCCATTGCTTGATTGCAATGAGTTAATGCCACACAGAGTTAGGAATAATGTCTAAAATCTATTCAAACAAAACCAAATTTCTATTTACAAAACCTCAACTAAAATGCTTTACAAAATTTTATATTCTCAGAAATTTACTTTTATTAATTTTAAAAACACCAGCCTTATACTAATCATAAGAATCAGAAACAGATAAAACATATTTTGTTACAACTTTTTTTCAACTGAGAAATGACAGATAAGCCAGGCAAAAAGCAAATTCTGTTTTTATAAGTATATACTGTAAAAATATATAATATGATCAAATTAAGTATATTGAAATAAGATTTTTCACTACTAAAAAATTAAAAACAATTGCCACTACAGCAGAAGTGACTTCTGTTTTTCTTCCGATGTCAAGGTCTGTTCTTCTAACTCTGCTCTTCATTGCTATTAGTCTGCCTTTGCAACTCAATTTAATTTTTCAGAGAATAGAGGAGGTGCTTTTCTACTACCACTGAAGCTAAAGCTCAAGGAAGGAAGTCATGAAGCATTCACCCCAGTTTCAGCTGATGCATAGGAAATCCTTCCCTATGGCTCTTGCATTTTCTCACCTGAAATCAACTTTCACATCCACGACTAATACATTTCCATGGAACATTTTCTACATTAAATAGTGACATAATCCAAGTGATAGCTTTTACCTGATAAGGACATGGGATATGGTACTGATGACAATGATCAGAGACCCAAGTTATCTCCCAGGTAATCCTGTTCACTTGCTCATAGACGTAACATCCGAGAAGTGTCACTAATGGCACAAGATACAAGCCACTGAAGACTCCAATTCGAATCATAAATTTCTTTAGTTTTTCTTGGTTCCGGCCATCATGTTGTATGACTTGTCGAACATGATTTAAAGAAATAATGCCCGCTAAAAGAAGAGAGAGCCCAACAAACACACAAAGGCACAGTGGCAAGAGTACAAAGTAGCGAGAAGCATCCAGGTCATAAAGGCCAACAAAGCAAACTCCACTAATGTTATCTCCTTCAACTTTGTTCATAGCAAGAAGCATAACAGTCAGGAAACCTGGTGTTCCCCATGCAACAGCATGAAACCACACTGCTTTTTGTTCGATGGCTTCACAACTCCATTTTCTTCCTGCAGCTAAGAACCAAGTAATGGTAAGAATCACCCACCACACAGTGCCAGCCATTGTGAAAAAATACAAAAGCATGAACAAAATGGTGCAAGCCTTATTTTGAGAGCCTAGGACAACAGTGTCACCAAGTTCTAGCTTCTCATCTGCCTTATTGCAGGCTGTGCTATCACCTAGCAAAAATCCAATGAAGTACATAAGAGATACAATGCTGTAACAGACAGAGTAATATATAATTGGTCTCTCTGGGTATCTGAATCTTTTAACATCAATTAAAAAAGTAAGGAATGTGAACAGAGTTGCACAAAGACAAAATATTGAAACTATTCCAATAAAACTTTTTGCAAACTCTAGCTCATCACTTTTAAAATACATGTTGGGGCATGGAGGTGCACATTGGTCAATTCCCAGAAACTTATATCCTTGTCCCCCAGAAGTCTTAAGATGCCTTGGACACCAAAATCCAATGTCTCTTTGGACTTGTTCTGTTTTCTTCTGAGGACCAAGAAATTCTGTGTGTGGATCAAAAGTTACAGGAACAGTCTCATCACAGTATTGTAATCTGTAAAGATTATAAAAATTAAATATATGAAATCAACATTTTTATTGATTCACTATTTTAAGCTATACTTTCCAACCATAAAATATTACCTTATATATTCATGATTGATGGGAAGAGATACAAATCTAAATTAATTACAGGTAAGAGATGAGTAGAAATTTTTGAAGTTGACTATAAACTTGCGGTTGTTAATGGGGCCTCATCCCAATAATTTATATTAAATACAAGGCAGGTGAACATGAAAATGTATTTACTTGGACAAAATTAGCCAATTAATAATTTTAAAATAATTTCTACTTTTAAGACTACATATTTAAGAAAGAATTTATCTTAATTGGTAGACTCGAGATAAGTGCTGGCTTGTCTCTTTACATCATATGTCTTGGAGAAATTCACTTTTATTTTCTAATGCCCATAAGAAAAGTAAAGCAACCACATAACTAAGGTGACGAAAATTAAAATGACTGAAATGAGATCCTTCCCTGGATTAACAGGATAGAGTTCAAGTTTTTAAAGAAAGGCAAGTATACCAGCAAAAGGCAGGGTGAGAGCCAGCTTAATGCACGCCACCATTTTGTTCAGGTTGGGCTCCTTGCCTCCCTTGTTTATGGACAGTCCTGAGTGATACATGGAGACATTTCCAACTTGTGCAGAACTTTATTACTAAGTTGAGTTTGTAAATACCAGTAGTATTTTGGGGAGTCTATAATAGTTTTAAAAGTATTAGAGGTTTTGGCTGGGCGTGGTGGCCCAGGCCTGTAATCTCAGCACTTTGAGAGGCTGAGGCAGGTGGATCATTTGAGATCAGGAGTTTGAGACCAGCCTGGCCAACATGGCAAAACCCTCTCTCTACTAAAAATACAAAAATTAGTCGGGCATGGTGGCAGGTGGCTATAATCCCAGCTATTTGGGAGGCTCAGGCAGGAGAATCACTTGAACCTGGGAGGCAGAGGTTGCAGTGAGCCAAGACTGAGCCACTGCACTCCAGCCTGGGCAACAGAGTGAGACTCTGTCTGAAGGAAAAAAAAAGTATTGGAGGTTTTAAATGAGAAAAAAATTTAAATATACCTTAGATAAGAACAGACTAAAACATATGCCCATAAAATGAAATACAAAAAATCATCTACCAGCTTTATTTTTTTGAGATGGGAGTTTCACTCTTGTTGCCCAGGTGGAGTGCAATGATGTGATCTCAGCTCACTAAAACCTCTGCCTCCCAAGTTCAAGTGATTCTCCTGCCCCAGCCTCCCAAGTAGCTGGGATTACAGGCGCCTGCCACTATGCCCAGCTAATTTTTCTTGTATTTTTAGTAGAGATGGGGTTTCACCATGTCAGCCAGGCTGGTCTTGAATTCCTGACCTCAGGTGATCCACCTGCCTTGGCCTCACAAAGTGCTGGATTACAGGTGTGAGCCACCGCAACTGGCCACCAGCTTTATTAAAACATATTATTATGTTAATTTTTTTATATCTTTTAAAATAAAGCAATATAACATAGAGATACAGTGGGGACCTCTTTCTGGTCTTATTTCCTTCTCTCTCTCCTCCTAAGTATTCATTACTACAAATTTGGCTTTTATTCTCAAGCATTTTAAAATATTTTTATTATATTATTTACTAACCATAACCTCATAAAGTCTTGTTTTTCATGTTTTGAGCTTTATATAAATGACACCATGCTGTATATAGCATGCTATAACTTACGTTTTAAAATTTAACGCTATATTTTCTAGATTTATCCATGATAACAGATGTGGGTCAACTGCATTCATTTTTTCAACTGTATGGTAGTATTCCAGTGTGTAAGTACGTCACAACTTACTAATCATTCTTCTATGATGGACTTTCAGATTTTTTCCCATTAAAATAATTAGGAATAATCTATAATCAATATTCTTGTGCACAGCTCTCTGTGTAAGAGTTTCTATGTGAGGGGATTTCCTAGGATGCAGGGTTAAGCATCTGCCATTTTACTATATATTATTCAATTGTTCTTGAAAATGATTATGTATCTACCAGAAGTGTGTAAGTTCCACATAGGTTCTACAGTTTCTTTAGCTAAAAATAAACCAAAAAAGCTAACTAGCTTCCTTCCCCAATTTATTACATGAGGTCTCACTATATCAGTAGAATATTTAAAATTACAAACCTCCACTGTCTAGAGAATAGGAAACAAAAGTAATTAATCAAGACTAGGAAAAGGTCAGTGAATGGATACATTCATTCATAAATTAATTGTGCTTAAAATCCTGTTTTCTTCACATGAACTCTAATTGCAAATGATCAAGTCAATCAGTATTCATTATGTTTATTCACTATCACAGAAAGGTCCAGATAGAATATTTCTTTTAAATATATGCCTGCATATGCCTGAGATTCTTTTTTTCTTTTTTGTGGAGACAGGGTCTCGCTATGTTACCCAGGCTGGTCTTGATTTCCTAGACTCAATCAATCCTCTTGAGTAGCTGAGAATACAGCTGTATACCACCACACCTGGCTTATGCTGAGATTTTTATATCCAAAAAAGAACATTCACCTTGCCAAAATATTACATTAATACTGGTCTGAGGTATATGTAACAAGTATAATCAGCATTTTTATCTTAACACAGAGAATATTTCATGTTATAAACACATCTGTTAAGCATGTTTGTAACATTTTCACTTTGAAATGCACTTATTAATTATAAAATCTGTCACAGCATAGTGGCTGAGGTATGGAAAGGCCTCTGAAAAATCATATCAGGAAAGTGTGTTTTCATGAAAGCAAGGCAGCTATACCTTTGAGGAGAAAAAGTTTGACTATCATAATAAAGCTGGGAAAATGAGCATAAGGAAAGAAGTATAGCAGAAAATAAGATTTCATGGACTCTCAGGTAGCATGGTGAACATGCGCTGCTGTGGGGAAAGAAATGAAGAGAAGAATTGCCATGGGTCAAATGAGTGGGATTCATCTATGGTAAACTACCTGAGGATGGCTGAAGCCAGAACTAAAGACAAAGTCAGTTTACAGAACTCTTCACCTATAAAAGATTGTGCCTGTGCTCTAATGAGCTGAGGAAACTATAGACCTCAAAGAATGAATGCACCTTTTTGCCATCCTTCCAAGACAAAGGAATTCTCCTGGGGAACCAAGAGGCTAATGCATGCCATAATCACACAGTTCTGACATTTCTCAAATAATAGAAGCAGAATTGATGTTTTTACCACAGTTATGTTAAACCTTTCATTATGCTATAAATCTTTCAATGAGCTAGATTTTGTGTTTTAATTAGAAGTTCCTCTCTTTCTTTGTGTATATTTTCAAAGTAATTAAGATGCCACAAAAGCCTGAAGGTCTTATTTATAAAAATGAAAAAAATATTCTCCAGTATAGGCCACACTAGAATTATTTTTATGTGCAACTGACCCAACTAACATTGTATAAAGGGATATTTATGAATTTGCTTTATATTCATGGGACACAGTTTAATATAGGGCTCAAATAATTCTAAAAAATGAATTTTACTTTCCAATTCAATATATCAAGCATTCTCAAACATGAAATAAATTTGACTTAGTTTAATTATTTGAAAACTATCAGTTTCTCAAAAAATCAAGTTACAAAGACCAAAACTCTATTAGAATTAGAAATTAAGCATGGGTTCCAGTATAAACTTTTGTAAGTTATAACCTCCCCTGCTTTGAAACTGAGTAGGCAATCTCATAATGAAAGAGCAAGTATTTCTCCACAGGTCTCACCGTCTTCTAATATAAATATAACTTAATCTTCTCCTTCCCTCCACTAAAATGTAAGGTCCATGACCACAGGAATTTTTGCCTGTTATAACTCTAGTGCCTTGAACAGTCCTGGCACACAGTAAGAGTTCAAGAAATATGTGTTGAATGAATCATCAGTTTTCTCTCCTTTCCTTTTGCTGTCATCATCCTTGGTGACCTGGCCAAGGACAAGCCATTTACACTCTGGCTTCTCGACTCTTTAGCCTCCTCATCTCCAATGATTATCCCTAATCTGCAATGGCCACCTGCAATCAAAGTCACACAAGGAACCCTGCCACAACCTGTAAGTATGCACTATATCGAAAAGTCAACTCAAGCATCCTGCCCTTCATCTGCAAGCTCCTATCCTTGCAGTTCATTTATTTAAAAATCCTCATTTCTTTAAAAAAAAACCCCACCTCATTGGGATCTCCTCCAGCTTGGCTCCATAAGTAAGTTCTTTTCTTTCTTCATTTCACTTCCCATATATTTAGATTTTCACAGGCTATTATTTCAGTAACACCCTTCTTGTTACCCTTCATTTTTCAGTGCTCCTTTATTTTTGCACTGAATCTGACAAAACCCCAACCACAGATGAACACAACTGTCTGTCTTCTCTGTGCTTAGCCCCAAGCATCCTGCCACAGCTGGAGAAGTTTTCAATGGGCCAGATGAGATACACAAATTCAAGATTGCCTGATTTACCTAAAATGTTATGAAGCCTAGTTGACTCATTCTCCCATGCTCCATAATGACCACTTCTCTCAAGCACATATCCTTCTTTCCCAGACTCACAACAGAGGATCTTGTTGACTCTTACTATGTCACAATGGAAACAGAAACCATCAGAAAGAAATTCTTGCAACAACTCTTACCAAACACACAAACCTATCCATAGCCATCCTATCTTTTCCTTCTGTTACAATGGATGCTCCTCCCATCCATGGTCAAAATGTCATATATACTTGGGATCCTACCTCTTTCTTAGAAAACCACTATTGATGACTTCTTCTATCCCATATGCGCTTGCCTCTTCCTTTTTCCTAGTAGTTCTTAAAATAGTCAGTTCTTTCCCATTAAACTTATAAACTTTCCTCTTTTATAGCCAGCTTCCCTAAGAACCCTCTCTGTTTCTGGCTTCACTTTCCCCTCACTCCTTCACCTACTGCAATCTGTCCTTTGCCCCAATCACTCTAGTGAAATAGCATAAGGTAGTGTTCTTTTTGACTGGCAGCACCTGACATGTCCTCTGCCTTGAATATTTTTTTCCTTCAGGACACACATTTACCATTTTCCCTATTTGTTTCAGTTGTAACCACAAGACTGACATATTGCCAACATGAATACATGTGGAAAAGGTATAACACATCTGAGGCACTCAAGAAACGGCGTGAGTTCTCTACCTTCTCTCTCTCCCATCCACCTGGCTGACAGAGTTGCAGGATGAAAGTGTCCTGGATTCCTAACAGGAACTGCCACAGAGCGCTGCCCTACCCTCAGGAGACTGACACAGGTGCCATGCTCTACACAGAAGCTCACAGGGTCATGCTTCCCATTTCTATATTAAAATATTGAAGACCTTCTCATTGCTTTCAGCATAAAAAAATGCAAGATGCAAGATGGGCCCGGGATGGTCTGAATGCTGCTTCTCTCTCCTTCCTTTTCTTGCACCATGTTCTTTCTTACTCTCATCACTCCAGCTACACTAGCTTTTGAATTCCCTCTATGTATGTTGCTCCCTCACTCCCTGTTCAGGGACTCTGCAGGGCCTCTGAATAAGCTATTCCCACTGCCCAAAATGCGTTTCCCTCCTCTCATTGCCTATTTACCTCTGTCTTACCCTTACCTTTCATACTTTAACTCAACAATTATTTCCTTCCCTTTTCCCCAGTTTAGGTCAAAGGTATCATTATATATTCTCAAAAAACTATCTACCTTTCCTTTATTGTATCTATCACCGTCATAATTTTGCACTTATTTGCATAATTATTTGATTACTGTCTGTCCCTCTCACCTCACTGTAAGTTTCCTGAGAGGAAGAAACAAATCTGTTTTTGGCTCACCTTTGTGTCCACAACACTTAGCACCATAGTGCCTGGCATACATTAAGTGTGCAATAAACATTTATGGAATTAAATAATGAAAGTCTGCCACTGACATCCCAGAGAGCTAATACTAGCAGTAAACTACCATTAGTAGCTTTCCATGAAAAACATACTTTACCTGTCACATTCAAGCTCCTCAGGCCATCGGATTCCAAAAGTTTCAATTAGTTTTTTGCAATCAGAATATACTTTCTCACAAAGTTTACGACAAGGTGGAACCACATGAATTTGCTCTGTGCAGGTTGGTACAAATGCTTTGCAGAGAAAAGTTTCAACATTTGGCGAACATTTCAGTTTTGCAAGTGGAAGAAAATGCTATTAAAGATAGAAAGATACAATTAGAACACATTTTAATAACAATGAATACAATTAATATATTTACTGTTTGAAGTATATACTTTTTCACTTATACTCCAAAAGAATCTTTAAATCTCCCTCTATCAGACTTATAAACTTTCCATACATAATGGAATATGACTATTTTTTATTCAATCGTATATTTTTCAAGAAGACATGGATTATTCCAGTGAAATCACTTGTCAGCATCACCAACAAACTCCACATTGTCAAATCTGATGGTAAATTCTGAATGTTCCTTCTACTCAGCTCTTAACAGCAATCAACAGAGTGGCTCCTAGCTTCCTCTTGAGGCCCCTTTTGCACTTGTCTTCTAGGACATGAACTCTCTTGGGTTTCTAGCCATCTCATTGGCTGTTCCTTTTCTGATCCTCTTCCAATTCCCAATTACCATCATTGAAATGTTCCAGAGCTCAGTCCCCAAGATCTCTTCTCTATCTCTACTGACTAATCAAGGGAAACTCATCCAGCCCCCATCTCTACTGTGAACCCTAGATTTGAATGAGCATCTGCTCCAGAACAACTCCATTTGGCTGTTAATGGGCATCTCGAACCCAAAGTATGCAAAATACAACTCAATCCCACTGGATATCTGCCTCCCAAACACTACCTAAGTCTTCCCCATCTCAGTAAATAATGCTACCATTCACCAAGTTGCTCAGGCCAAGAATCTTACAACTCATTCTTTACTCCTCTCTTCTTTCACCTCATCTCCAACCCATCAGCAAATCCTGTTGGCTCTCCCTTTAAAGTATATTCCATATCTGACCATTTCTCACTATTACCACCCAGTCTAAGCCACTATTATCTTTCAACTACTAAAATGGCCTCCTAGCAGGTCTCACTACTTCCCACTCTTGCTAATCTTACAGTCAAATTTCCAACCAATGTGATTCTTTAAAATGTAAGTTTATCCTTGTTCAGAGACTCCAATAAAATAAATTCCAAAGTCCTTTCCAGTTCCTATGAGCCCTTAAATTTCCTGGTTTCCCACTATGTCTCCACTTTCATTTCTGATCACTTTTCTCATTAACTCCATTGCCACTAAACTGGATTTTTGCTTCTCATCGTTCCATATGTATTTCTGCCTCAGGGTCTTTGCATTTGCTATTCCCCTCACTGAAATTCTAAGAGGGAAAGGATTTTGTCTACTTTGTTCACTGCTCTATCTTCAGTGCCTAAAACAGTGTCTGCTACACAGTAATTTCTCTATATTTACAGAGTAAATGCACGATTCTCCAAAACAATAAGTGAACAATGACAAAGCATATCAATAAAACATTTCAGAGCATCAAGGCAAAGAGACAATCACAAATGTTTCCAGAAGGGGGAAAAACAGGATACATGTAACTAAATTAAATTGCTAATATTTGATAATATCAGAAGCTAGAAGAAAATTTAAAAAACAACTATAAAATTCTAAAGAAATATGCATCTCAACCTAGAATTCTAGACCCACCGAAACATTTAGAGGGTAAACTATTGACATTTTTGGTGCTGTAAGGAATACAAAATTTAAACTTTCAAGCATCCTGTTTAGCAAGCAACTAGAAGATGTAATATTCCTGAAACAAACTGAAGGAATTTATGAATAAACTAGGAAGGAAAATAATATGGGATCCAGGAATTAGCTGATTCAACACTGAAGAATTACAAGAAAAATTTTCCATGTGACAACTACAAATCTAGTCCAGAAGCAATCAGAGCACATCTGACAGAAGGACAGATGGCTGAAGAAGAAAGGTCTCCAAGGGAAAGGAGGAGGGATTGAGATTGACAGATTATATGTTAATTTGAGCACTAGGAAAATTGCTGCTAGGGTCTGAAAAGTTTGTTAAGGTATCTAAAAACAGACATTGTTACATTAAAAAACAAAGCAAATACAACTACTACATTAATTGTTGGGAGGGTACTAAAAAAATGTACTTAAAATATACTACCTGACTTAGCAGTGCACAATATTTAATATTTCTAGTAATGTTAGCACTATTCATTTAATCAAAAACTGTATTAAGAGGAGAAGTAAAAGTGGCAGGGTAAGATAAATGAATTATCAACTACCCTAATAGGAAAGAACAAACAGAAATGGCCTGAAGTTCTAAATTGATTAATCAATAACCAACAGAGTAAACCCATTAGTTAGAATGTGGCCTACATACCAGAGGAACACCTAAAGGAGTTCAGAGGCTCCCTCTCAAGGGCATGACTGGAATGTGGGTGAAGGTAGGCAAGGACTATTGTTTTTCTGATCAAAGCCTTTCAGTTTTGAGGGTTTTCTTTTCCAGCTTTATTAAGGTATAGGTGATGCACGATAAACTGAACATGTATAAAGTATACAATTTGATGTTTTCAAATGATTATCACAATCAAGGTAACAAATGTATCCCTCACCACCACCAGAAGTTTCCTCTAGGTCCCTTGTCATCCCTCCCACCCTTTCATCCTCCTCACCCCCTCAGTAACTCTTACACCTGACAACCACTGATCTGCCTTCTGTCACTGTGGAGTGGTATTTTCTATAATTTTACATAAGTGGAGTCATATAGTGTGTTGTCTTTTTTGTCTGGTTTCTTTCACTCAGCATCAATATTTTGAGATTCAGTCATGTTGTTAGATGCATCAGTAGTTCCTTTTAATTGCCAAGTAATATTCTCCTGTATGGCTGTACCATAATTTTCTTAACCATTTACCAGTTGATGGGCAGTCTGAAGTGCCGATGGGACATTTGAGTGTGGAATATCTACTAGCAGGTAGTTAAATAAATAAAGCTATGCAGGAGTGAGACTTAAAGTTGAGGATATGGATTTAAAAGTCATCAGTATGAAAATGGTAATTGAAATAACTGACTGAAATTACCAAAAAAGAACATGTAGAGTGAGAAAAGATGAAAATTCTGATTCAAGGGAAATGTACTGAATCTATGTATTAGCATCTTCTTCCTCTTGAAATGCCATTGAAATGACAGAAAAGGTTTAAAGATAAAAAATAAAATCCATAGCTGCATTAAAAAAGCAAGGAAAAGACTCCTCAAGAAACCATAAGCTTTGAGAAATTTCTGAAAGGCAAAAAGAAGGAATGCCAACTTCTTTCATCAGTATGGTCAATTAAACATCTCCTGCCACAAAACATTCAGGTTCTGGATAAAGTAAAACAAATACACTTTAAAATGCATTGCTGCGCACTGTACACACCTTATAAAATAGCCTTAAAACATATAAACAAAAAGCAATAAAACTATAAGGAGAAATGGACAATTCCATGATCATGAGAAATTTCAACACATCTTCTTTAGTAAATGAATGGTCAAGCAGACAAAAATTAATACGTAAATATAAGCTTAGATTACAGACTACAATTAACAAGGCTAACTTAAAGGGCACATACATAACCACACCCAACAATTAGAGGACAATAGCTATGGAGGATTTGGACAGTGGGAAGTTCCCGTCCTGATGGGGCAAAGTGACTGAGCAGAGATGGGGTGCCATGGTTGACATATGTTATTGCTTCCATTTGAATGGTGCTCTGAGATCGGATCCATTGCCACTTCACAGGAACTTTGAGTACAAACAACATGGTACATTTTTCAGTTTCCTCCATCATGAGAGAGAGAGAGTGCCCAGATGGTGTGCACATCTTGCTCTGAGCCTGAGGTGGGAGAAGGGGAGCTGCAGACCACTAGTAGTGTTTACTCTTTGTTTACTGTCCTAAAAAAGCCTAGTTCCTAAATTTTTTTACTATCTGGTAATCAGATCCTTTGGTAGAAAGAATTAAAACACACTGTGTTTATTTACTTCTTCTAACTCAGAAGCCATGGTTAACTGGTGGTCAGCACTTAAAAAGTAATTATCTCATTCCAGGACAGGCAAAATAAATGCAATACATGTACTTTTGCTATACTAAAACAATTTTCTTACAAGGAAAATGCAAGTCTCTTCCCTAATTTAATTATTCTACAGTGACAAAGTTGGCTAATCCAATAATGCTGAGGTTCCTGCACTGTGTATAGGATAAACACTGAATGCTGAAAACTCAGATTCCTTCAGAGGCCAAGTAAACTCAAAGGCCTGTAAGACGATAGGGAATATTTTGGAAGCAGCTGCTACTCAACTCTAGCAGACTATTATTTGGAAATGGAGGCACAGAATTGTCGGGTATATCGATTTTTCCCAAGATCCTAGATTTTATGTGTAATTTCCCAAATTTTAGATTTTGGCACTTTAATCTACACATTTGCAACAGAAACTCCACCCCCCAAAGCCACACACACACACACACACACACACACACACACACACACACAGAAAAAACAAGTCTCAGGTCAGATCCAGTGTGGGCTACCAAATTCCATGTTCAGTTGCAGATAAACAGATTTAAAGTATCTTAGATTTGGAAGGAACTTGAGAGAAAAAATCTTTAATTATTTTCAAAGTGTCTGTGTGTGCACACACGCACATTTTGCCAAGAAACTTTTTTTTCTTAATTGTACTTTGGGCTCTGGGGTACATGTGCACATCCTGCATCTTGCAGGACTGTTGCATAGGTACATATATGCCATGGTGGTTTGCTGTCTTCATACCCACCCCACCACCGTCACCTATATCAGGCATTTCTCCCAGTGTTATCCCTTCCCTTCCTTCCCGCCCCCTGCTGTCCCTCCCCTCCCGTCCCCACCTAGCCCACTGAGTGTTCTTCGCTTCCCTGTGCCCAAGTGTGCTCATTGTTCATCACCTGCCTATGAGTGAAAACACGTGGTGTTTGGTTTTCTGTTCTTGTGTCAGTTTGCTGAGAATGATGGTTTCTAGATCCATTCATATCTCTACAAAGAACACGAACTCATCATTCTTTATGGCTGCATAGTATTCCATGGTGTATATGTGCCACATTTTCTTTGTCCAGTCTATCATTGATGGGCATTTGGGTTGGTTCCACGTCTTTGCTATTGTAAACAGCACCAC